CTTGGGGCGGCGGTCGAGACTGCGGCCGTACTCCTTGCGAGAAAAGGCGCGCCCAAGCAGGCCAGCGCCCCCTCGACCTCCCGCGGCCCCTCCTGCCGACCCCGCTGCATCGGGGCCCCCTGAGCCCGCCTTGCCCGCTTTGGGCCTGGGCCTGGGGTGGATGGGCTGCGGGGGGGGGACCGCATTGGAGCGGAAGGCGGCCTGCCACTGCGACCTCGCCAGCTTGTTGTGGTGCCTGAATATGATGTCCGTCATAAAGTACTGGTCAGGCTCGTCCAAGATGTAGGTGCGCGGCATCCGCAGCCAAGGCCGCGGGTCCTCACTGCTGGTGGGGGACGTCCCATGAGCTTCATCATGCGAGCCCTCTTCATCCGCAGCTCCTCGCACCAACGGCCGCGTAGCTCCGCCCAGATGCCGAAGATGATGCTAGGGGGCCAAGCGTACTCCGCCTCGCCATTGAGGCTGAGCAGGTGCTCGGCGGCCTTGATCTGCTGGTCGTAGTGCTCCTGGCCATAAAAGCAGGCCCACGCCCGCGACTTGCGCTTGGCGTCTTGGAACCAGTGCTGGGGCGTGGAAGCATGCCTCGGGCGCGTCTCCAGCTTGTAGTCCTTCGGGGGCACGTAGCCGTCCATGTCCGCCTCCGTCGCCCTCGGGAAGTTCGCGCAGCTGAGGCAGTAGTCCGGCAAGTGCAGGTGTTCGCGCCCCCCATGCTGGAACGCTGCGAAACCGCGCGCGATGCTGTTGGAGATGTTGGTGGGGAACTTGATGGACCTGAAAAGCGGCCTCGAGTTCTGACCCACGGACCTCAGCGCGTGGAAGGCATCCTTGCCGAGCAGTCCTGGGCACAACGTGACCGTGTAATAGTCGCACCCCCTGGCCATGAACACTAGTCACTAGCTGCTCCTCCGCGCGCCCAATGCTGGCCAGCGTGCCCTTTGCTGCGCCGCCTGACTCCTCGGCGTGCTTGTTGGCCCTCCCCAGCTCGCGCACGAGGTTCTGCAGACCAATGCCTACCTCAGACTCCGCCGTAGGCGCTGCCAGCACCCTCTCCTCCCGCGGCAGGGAGGGCGCACCTGCGTGCCACTCCCCAGGGCGGGTCGCCCTCTCCACAGAGGAGGGTGACGTAGGCGGCGGAGCCGTCCACGGTGTGTTCGAACTGGCTCCTCCTGATCCGTAGAACGCGCTTGGGTTGAAACCTGGCCGCGCCTCCGGCCGCGGTGGCGGCCTCTGCCCGAAGCCGAGGAAGCCCAACCCCGGTGGAGGCAGAGTCGGGCCCGACTGGCCTTCAGGAGAAGCCCGCGCAGGGGCCGCCGGCCTCGGACCCCCCCCTGCCGTCTCGTAGCCCTCGTACGGCGCGCGTGCTGGAGGGGGGAGCGGCGGCCCATCGGCTGCGCCCGGGTGCTGGCTGCCCTCGCCGCCCTCGAGCTCTCGACTCCAGAGGTCACGGCACCCTCGGAGGAGACTGACGCCGACCTCGCTGACTCCTCCTCCATGCAGCGTGTCGGCCGCCTCGATGAGCTCCGCCAGTAGCTCGTGCTTGCCCATCCCGCTCTCCGCTGAGATGACCCCTCGAGCTGCGCCGTCTGCGAGGCCGTCGGCGCGCTTGGCGAGGTAGGCTGCAACGAGGATTGACCTCGGATCCTGGCTCCTGTGCTCCTCGTCCTGCGCCTGGGCTCTGCGCAACTTCTCATCGAAGTCATCGTGGGCGTCCTGTCGGGTAGGTGTAGTGCTGCGACTCCGTGACCGAGCCCGCTTGGCCATGAGATGCCGACTGCGATCCTTGCTCAGCGCGATGGCCGACGCCTGGCTCATGGAGTCGCCGCGGTAGTTCGCGCCGCCCCCGCGGTCCGACAGGCGCAGCGCGGCGCCAGACCGCCAGCAGATCGCGGGCGGCTGCGCCTCCACGAACTCGTCGAGCAGCTCAGGCCTAGGGGGGGGCGAAGGCCCCATCCGAGACGGAAAAAGTCAGCCCCAAGCCCACCGCCTCCACGTCCGCACGAGGGCCGTCGCTCTTGCAGTCCTTCGTCGGGCCGACGAAGCGGGCGGGGAAGCTGCAGCACGCGCCCCACTCCGATGCCCCCGCAGCCAAAGGGTCACGAACGTGAATGAGCCAAGTCGCGTCCGCCTCGGCCTTGGCTGGGCTGTCCTTGCGGCTAGAGGCCGCCGGCGCGCGACGAGCCACGCGCTCCTCGCTCCTCCTCTCTGGCCTCGCACCTCCTGGGCGCTGATCACTATCCTCGTCCTCTCGATGGGGAGTCGCCGACCGGCTGCGCCAGCCCACCGCGCGATCAGCCGCGTGAGCCGTGCACAGCGAGAAGCCGTCCTTCTCAACCACGTGGGCGCGGTGGCACTGTGAGCGCGCGCGCGCCTCCGCCGAGCCGCCCGGCTCTCGTAGGCACCCGCGCGATGCGCGCGCGCGCGGAAGGTCCAGGTGCCAGCCCCCTCTTGCAGGTCACGGGTGTCCGAGACGGCTGCGTCCTCCACCAAGAGGAAGACCGGGCTTTGCCTAGCAGCGTCTCTGCAGCACTGGGCGCTCAAAACCTGCGTGCCGCCCTCGGTGATGTAGGCCACCTGGTCGGCCTGACAGACATCTACGCTGGGCTCCGACTCCGTCTCCGCGTTGGGGCCTATCTCCTCGGCCTTGCCCGCGGGGTGCCCCGGCTTGGGGTGCCTCATCCTCTTCCGGGCGCAGCACTTGAATAGTCGCCCCACTGCCCTGCCCGCGCCCCGGCCTGCCCAAGCGCAGCAGAGCCTCCCGCCCACGCGGGCCCTGCCTGCGGGAGAGAGCTCGGCCAAGTCCGCCACGTTGATGGGGGGCTGTGGGGCGCGACGCACGACGAGCAGATGTGCACCATCGGCCTGTCCCCAGTGGGAAGCGTACACGGAGTAGTGGCGCACAGGTGGACCACCCCGATGCCGTCGCCATCGCGGGTCGCCTCCAAGTCCGCCTTCAAGTGCCGATGCGAGCTCCCCTTTCACCTCCCGAAACTTGTAGACGTACCCGTGGCGAGTGAGCTGGCCACCCTTAAGTGGGCCCTGCTCAAGCCTAGCCACGGATCCCCCCGAGCGGACGACGAGGTCGTTGGGCATCATCTTCTCTGCCCCTCCTCCTCGGCCTCGGACCTCGTTCTTGATGTAGTCTTCGCCAATATCGAGGGCCTCGGCGCTGCCGTGCCAAATGAGCGCTGCGGCTGTTTTGCCGTCCAGTGCCAGCTTCACGTCGTGCCATGACTTGTGGCCCTGCGCGAACCCTCTCATCGTGGTGGACAAACACGCCAGATATCCCCATGCTGTCCTCACGAAGCAAATCGCGAAGCCCAAGGCAGAGCCCAGCACGGTGGCCACCGCGACCGCCGCCAGGGCCATGGCAGCCCACTGTAGCCTGGCCCAGTAGGCCCCGAGCATGTACCGGCCCATGGAGTCCACCAGTCCCACGATGAAGGCGATGAATTGGTGGAGGAGGGCGCCCAAGGCGTAGCCCATCCTCTCACCCAGCCGCTTCAACGCAGCCTCGACTCCTGCGCTGACCATCTCCCTGGAGAAGAGCTGCGACCTCGACCCAGCGTCGGGGGAGGGGGCCTGCGGCTGCGGCGGCGCCTCGCCGACCCCAGTGGCGTTGGCAGCGCTACCTGACCCTGGCGGGGGGTTCTCCTGCTTGACCTCGTCCTGGGGCGGAGTCGGCCTCCTGGGCGTCTCCGTCTCCTCCTTCGCCAAGGAGCCTCCGAAAGGGGGCTCCGGCCTCGCCTCCGCTGGAAGGGCGTCGGCGTAGTAGTAGCCGTAGTAGCGGTAGTACTCCTGGTCGCTCCCGCTGCTCTCGGCTGAGCGCTCAACCGGACCAGCCATGGCTGGCGGCGGGTCCGTGACCAAGGGCTCGCTCGGGGCAGGGGGCGCTGCTGATGGAAGTGGCCTAGACGGCGCCTCCACCGCTAGCAGCTCGTCACTGTCCGTAGTGCTGCAGCTAGCTCCACGCGTCTCCTCCGGCGAGGCCTGCTGCTCGTCAGGGGCGCCATCTTCATCTGGTCGTGCCCGTTCATGGCCTCCCTCCTCGGGGCCCGCCATCGTGGCAGTCGCATGTACTGTCGCATACCAGCTCACGCCGAACGACGAATCGAGCCAGGTGACTAGCGCCCCGACCGCCAGCGCGAGAGTGCACTCGATGCTGTGAAGCGGCCTCATGACCTCGTCGTCGCGACGCCCAGCCAGACAGCGCCACAGCTGAGGCACCCGCGGGCGTCACGTCCGCTGCGGACCGCGGGGCTCCCCTCCGGAGCCCCCGCCCGCACTGGAGGGGGGACCTGGCCCAGCCACTACCCATCACTCCTCGGAGTGCCCGTGATATGGCCCCGCCCGCTTACCCCAAAATCATTCGCGGCTCCGCAGGAGCCTTGAGCAAACGGCGGCGGAGGAGGACAGCAGGAGAGGAGGCTACGAGGCGGGAGGAAACCCTCTGTTCTAACGAACGATCACCTAAGAGGACCCCGAGAGCGCTCGTCGTCGTCGTCGTCGTCGTCGTTGCCATTCAGGGTCGGCGGCACCCGCCGTAAGGCCTTCGCAATATGGAGGAAGCCAGGGCGCTCTTGAATACGCATCACGGCAGCACGGCGCCAAGCAGGAGATAGAGGACAACGTGTTCAGGCTGTGGTACGTGGCAGTGGGGGGAGAGAAGCTGGTGGTGCACGACGAGCTGGACAACGGTGAAGCCAGCAACCAGTACAAGTCAGCAGCAACCTACGTCAAAATCATGGAACACAAGAAAATGGACGAAATATAACCGTACGACATGGTGGCAACACTGGCCGGAAACGGACGGCGACTTCAAGCACGGCAGAAGCATCGCAGACTCGCTGAGGGCAGCCGTGGCAAATTCCGGAGTCGGTGGTACTATCCCGGCAAGGAGCGACCATCTCAAAGGACTGGCTGAGTAGTTGGAGTAAGCAAGACAAGCACAGGAGAAACTAACACCAGAGTCGAAAACAGTACGGCTGGCAGAAACGGCGAGAATGCTTGACCAGATGAACAAGGCATACCAGCACAACATCCACTTGTGCATGCAGCACATAGCGAAACAACAAATACTCAAGGACGAAATCTTGAGAAAAAAGAAACGGGTCGTAGAGGTGCCGAACGAGAACGTCGCCAAGACGAAGGGCATCTTCGAAGAGCCCATAGAAGGCGACATCACGCAGCGCGCGCAGCACACGATGAAGTGCGTCGAAGAGGAGCTTGCAGATGACCAGGACTTGGACGAGGAAACGCTCGCAGAGTTCACCACAGTACGCACGAAGTTCGTGGCGAAACCACAGGCGGATGCGAGCACGTTCAAGGGCCCGCTGTAACAGCACGTAAAGGCGGCGAAAGATCGAGCCCGTGAACACAGGCAAGAGACAGGGCGTAAGGCAACGAAGAGGAAAGCTGAAGGAGGGGGAGCAGCCGACGATGCCAGAGAAGAGAGGGAGGCAGCACAGGAGAGGGCCGACGAGAAAGATGACGGCGGCCAACGCTGAGGCCGCAGGTGAAGGGAATCGCAGCTGGGGGCACCCTCTCCAGGGGAGAGGGCCGCCATCCGGATCCGCGAGAGGCGCTTTATTTTTTGCCAGCTACTCCACCTGTGGACTGGACGCAGACGGATGGTTGAGGAAAGCTGTGCAGAAGACACCTCGAGGCACGAGCTACTTCGGTGGCTGCGCGTTCCAGGAAGCGCACCTCGCTCACGGGGAAGTCGAACTGCACGGGACGACTCCTCGTAGCATGGGGCTGACAGCAATCGCGAGCGCAGTAAGACCATGGACCACCTGTAGTTCTGGGACGTGTGGGGGTACATGTGTGGCTATGCACACATGTTTCAGGACATCGGCTGACAGAGAGCAGGCTTCCAATGTGACTGTCAGTGAATTTACGGCGGGAAGCCTCGAAAAATACAGAGAGGGCTTGGCTTTCCGCGACTGGATACCGATGGCGTTGCATTCGAAAGAGTTGAAGTATTATCAGCATCGAGTGCGCACCGACCATGGGAATATATGGCAAAGCATTGAAAGCTTTGTCGAGTTTCCTACACGGTGTGAGACACCCGTGGGCTATAGTGGAAGATTGGAATCATTCACCTCGTCAGATTTGGCAATGTGGCTGGCCACGGAAGATGGGCAGCACAGTCATAACCCTAAGTCTGGGGTCAACACACATGCTCCAAGAAGAGCGGCAAACCGTCGATGATCGATTTTGCGCTGGTCAACTACAACCCAAATTGAGTCGTGAGGATACTGGACCACGTACCACGGAAAGCTCACATTGGCAAGTGCACCGCGATCGAGGGTGAGATTTGGTATAACTTCGTTCGGACATTAAGCATGGTGGGGACGTTCGTGCACCCGGAGTTGGTCAAGCAGCAACCTAACCCAGAGAAAAAGCGGGAGCATAAGAGCCAAAACAAAGCATCTGGAAGAGATGCTGACGTAGCTCGTGATGGCCGTCATCGTGAAGAAGAACGACAACTACGCATGTATGAGAGAAGGGGACAGACGGGAAACACTGAGGCCATTTAGGTGGACGGGATTCTCGCTGTCGGGACAGATCGCAAACGCAAACATGCACTCGCAGGAGGCGGACTCATTCGCAGACCTTTACGAAGAGGTCAGGGAACAGGCAGAAGGACTCAAGACGGCAGAGGACATGCTGGCTGAACTTGGACGGGAGACCGACGACGAGACGGATGACTGGCGACCACTTTTTGAGAGAAGAAATGGCCAGTGACAAACTTCACAAAAAAAGTGGTCGCCGCCGCATCTCTGCTGGGCAGCTCGAGAGAGAAAAGGAGCCCATCGCAGGAGCGGCTGACTATGTGCATGGACTGCCTATGGCGCATCATCGAGATGCAGCAGGAGGATGATACATAAGTTGCACGCACATATCACACCTGAGGAAATCGAGGCGATGCAACTTGGGCACACCTACGCGTCGCTGATAAACAACATGGAACAATTCTACTGTTCAACCTATCAGATACCACCGACAGAACTAAAATATGACAAAAGGTAGACACGCATACATGAAAATGGTGGGCACGCAGGCACACAACATGAAAGCCCTGGGATCACGCACAACATCACGAGGGGCGCGAAGAGATATGCGCAGGAGTGCATCTCGAACATGGTGAAGAGCCGTTCCCCCGTCGGCATGCTCGGTGCCACGACGGAGACCTTCGAGCAGCTCTGGAGGCAGAGCAGCACGCAGCGGGACACCGAGACCCTGCAGCTGCTACACGCGGCGGGACAAGCTACACCGATCCCGATGTGGACGATGGATGCCGGAGCCCCAGACGAGGGGAAGTGGGTGGACCAAGTGTGCATGACGGACCTCAGGCCCGCTCGTACTGCTGCTGCTGCTGCTGCTTCTCTTCTTGCTCTCCCCTGCCCTGCTGGTTTCCTCGTCTTCCCTAACTGTGGGGCGACCTTCTCGCGCCTGTAAAAATGATACGTGGCGGACCTCATACATCTACTTCCGAAAGGCAGGCAAACCTTCGCGAACATGCTCAACAAATGCGAATCAACGGTTGCATGGTCGTGGCATGTCCTCGAGGCGACCGTAATGTTGGAGCCAAGAGGAGACAGCCAACCAGGGCCAAGGTCTATGAGCACTTCTGGAGTCAGAGCTTTGGCGTTACTGAGCTAGTTCGGACGGAGCTGGGAAGTACTTAACAGAGAGATTGTGCGAGACTGGGTGCGAGATACCAAACTGCCATGGGGCGCAGCAGTACCTGAGCAGATTTACTCACGCGAAGCAATGATACAAGCAATTGGGGACGAGACGGCAGACGCTTTGGGCGCATCAGCAGCAGGTGGGATGATGGGACATCGGACGATTCTGAAAGAGCGTGGAGTTCGAGTACGGAGCGACGGCAGCGAAGCACAACGTATTCCCTCCATGAATATTGGCGATGCCAGCACTGCAACACCTCAAGGCGAAATTACTACGCAAAATGTTTGTTATGGTGGATGGCTGCTCGCAAGGCAATCACTATTGGCAAGATCGGGGCACAGCAACAACGTGGCAAGATCGTCGGTGTACGTGAAGGTGGTCAAACATATAACTGAAAAACCGTGACGTCAACCGATAATATGATTCGACGAATCACTTTGCGCGCTGCTGGGAGTGCTAGCCACGTCGAGAAGCAGAACGTGGAACGCATCGACAACGTGCGCAAGCACCTGGGCAAGAAGAACCTACGGATGGCGGGGATAGCATTTGGAATGGGTGCTACGTTGGAGATGGCGAACAGAATCGTCAAGGAGCTGAAGAAGCGAGGAACCAACGTCAAGACGGTACAATAACGCAGGGGCTTGGGGCAAGACAGAGCTTCAAAGACAACCACGAGACCCGTGACGCAAACGCAAGGACAGTCGTCGCGAAACTCCGATGCTAAACACGTCGGGTACTGAACCGATCAACCAAATGCTGGAACAAGGACGCATGGCATCACTGTTGTGCGGCTGCAGTGAGCGTGCTCGCTGACCAGCAGAACTGCCGATGCCGAGACGGCACCACTGCAACGCATCACGGGGAAACAAAAAGTGTGTTTGTGTGTGTGTGTTTTTTTTTGTGTGTGTGTGTGTGCGTGTGTGTGTGTGTGTTTCGTGTGTCTGTGTGTTTTTTGTGTGTTTTGTTTCCCCACAGTGTGTGTGTGTGTGTGTGTTTTTTGCGTGCGTGTGTGTGTTATTTGTGCGTGTGTTTTGTGAATGTGTGTGTTTTTCCCAACCATCCTGTGGTGTTGGGTCCTCGTTTTGAAGAGACGGTGCCCCGCGTTCCTCTCCTCTCCTCTCCTCTCCTCTCCTCTCCTCTCCTCCTCTCCTCCCCTCCTCTCCTCCTCTCCTCTTCACCCACCCAGTACACCGCTTCGTGGCTCCATAGGGAGCTCCACCGAAGGCCCCAGTGCCCGCGCCCGCATGCGTCACCCACACCCATTTCGGCACACCCCTCACACGTTTCGTGGCTCCATAGGGAGCTCCACCGAAGGCCCCAGTGCCCGCGCCCGCATGCGTCACCCACACCCATTTCGGCACACCCCTCACACGTTTCGTGGCTCCATAGGGAGCTCCACCGAAGGCCCCAGTGCCCGCGCCCGCATGCGTCACCCACACCCATTTCGGCACACCCCTCACACGTTTCGTGGCTCCATAGGGAGCTCCACCGAAGGCCCCAGTGCCCGCGCCCGCATGCGTCACCCACACCCATTTCGGCACACCCCTCACACGTTTCGTGGCTCCATAGGGAGCTCCACCGAAGGCCCCAGTGCCCGCGCCCGCATGCGTCACCCACACCCATTTCGGCACACCCCTCACACGCTTCGTGGCTCCATAGGGAGCTCCACCGAAGGCCCCAGTGCCCGCGCCCGCATGCGTCACCCACACCCATTTCGGCACACCCCTCACACGTTTCGTGGCTCCATAGGGAGCTCCACCGAAGGCCCCAGTGCCCGCGCCCGCATGCGTCACCCACACCCATTTCGGCACACCCCTCACACGTTTCGTGGCTCCATAGGGAGCTCCACCGAAGGCCCCAGTGCCCGCGCCCGCATGCGTCACCCACACCCATTTCGGCACACCCCTCACACGTTTCGTGGCCCCATAGGGAGCTCCACCGAAGGCCCCAGTGCCCGCGCCCGCATGCGTCAGCCACACCCATTTCGGCACACCCCTCACACGTTTCGTGGCTCCATAGGGAGCTCCACCGAAGGCCCCAGTGCCCGCGCCCGCATGCGTCACCCACACCCATTTCGGCACACCCCTCACACGTTTCGTGGCTCCATAGGGAGCTCCACCGAAGGCCCCAGTGCCCGCGCCCGCATGCGTCACCCACACCCATTTCGGCACACCCCTCACACGTTTCGTGGCCCCATAGGGAGCTCCACCGAAGGCCCCAGTGGCGGCGCTCACATGCGCATGCGTCCCGCACACCCATTTCGGCACATCCCTGACAGGTTTCGTGGCCCCATCATCCACCGGAGGCCCCAGTGGCGGCGCTCACATGCGTCACCCACACCCACCCAATTCGGCACACCCCTCACACGTTTCGTGGCCCCATAGGGAGCTCCACCGAAGGCCCCAGCGGCCGCGCTCACATGCGTCCCCGCCACCCATCCCGGCACGCCCCTCACAACAACAGGTTTCGTGGCCCCATGGGGAGCTCCACCGAAGGCCCCAGTGCTGCCGCCCGCATGCGTCACCACCCGCACCCAATTCGGCACACCCCTCACACGTTTCGTGGCCCCATAGAGAGCTGCACCGAAGGCCCCAGTGGCGGCGCTCACATGCGTCCCCGCCACACATCCCAGT